TTCGTCCGGTAGTCTGCTTCTGGCGGCCGGCTGGGAGAGCCTGGTTGTAAGGCGGTGAAGCCCGGGGTGGATCTGCAGTGTTGTTGCAGCTGTCCGTACTTGTGTTTCGGAGGAGGGAATCGTAATTCCGTGCAATCGTACGAATGATCTGAGTGATCAGCTTCCTCCGCGAGGGGGGATGCCGGAGCGCTGCGGGTGGGCAAAGGAGGGAGTCGGCTAGTTGCTGAGACTCTGTATTGATACTGTGATGATCCCCTGGGTTATGTCTGAGGGGAGGCTCGAGTTCATCTCTTCAGTTGTCGAGCATCTTCCCCATGTGTCTCTGAGCCCTGTAAAGAGGACAAAACTTTTTGGCTTGTTATACTGAAACGTCAATTTGTTGAAGACTGTGAGTTGTTGCTCTTAGCTCAGTGATTACCAGGGCGTGTGTGTGAATAGCCGCACGTGGTAAAATGTAACGCTGCTGAGTCGTTTGTGCTGCCGTGGGACTACACTGTCTGAAACCAGTTCACCTTTGCATTGTAAACCTTCGTGGAGACGGTGTGCTTTTCTGAGAGCGCGTTTAGAGTTAGCTATCTATCATTAGCTAGATAAATCTGTAGAGCGTAGACAGGTCATCGTGAAGCCTTTTCAGCGTGTAGGGTGGCACGTGTTGCTAATGCAGAGCCTCCCTGTGCACAATGTGTGGTTTCCAGGCTGGCAGAGCACAGCGAACCTTTCTATTTCAGAATTTCAGACCCGTTCTGTGGTATCTCAGCTAATGTGACAGGTGCCTGTCTTGGAATTGGCTTAAAGCTTTCCCAGTGAATCTCTTTCTCTGGAGTTGGTGGGATTATGTGCAAAACTCCTGTCATTTTTATTAGATGCTGTGTTTATGTTTTTAAATACATCAATGGCTTGCTGTATTTCTAAGGTGGAAGTGGAAACATAAGCAATAATGTTAAATAGCCACTTCCTAAGATTCTCATTAGAAAAATGACCCTAGTGATGAGATTTTGATTAGGTCTACATGCTTTGAAAATTCAGACCAATTTCATGTGTGATTTACAAGGTGAAAGAGAAGAAGACATATAACATTAGATTCTTTAATTTAAAATGGTCTAATAATTTAGCCAGTAGTGTATCTAGAATATTATGGAGTAATTGCCATGCATATTCAGCTCCTATTCATATGAGAAAGCATTACGATGTAGGTGGATGGACTTGTTCCTGAGCTAAGGATAGGCATTTAAACATCTTTTTAATTTTAAAAAAGCTTTACATTTTCCCATAATTCTGAAAAGTTGGGGTTTTTTTTCCAAGTGAGCTGGATGTTCTGTGTTTAAATTAGTAACACTTAATAGCTGTTTGACTGCTTGTGGAATTGTTTTGCGTGTGTGCCTTTATCGAAAAGGACTTCAAAGCCAGTTATTTTCTGTTGGATGGTAATTTTGAGTCACACTAGGGTATTGCAGTAGCATGTGTTTTACCCAGATACATATGTTGTTTCTGGCTTTCCCAGTGATTGGCTGAGCTGTGTATGTAGTTGTGAAGATCTGTCTGTTTGCGGCTGCAAATGCTTCCATTTGATTTCTCCTGTGCCTAGAAGTATCCTGGGTCTTGCTCTGTTTTTCCTAACTTATTTTTTTTCTGGGGAAGACCTCTTTGTTTGCTGCTCATAAATTATAGCTACCTGCTTGTAAATTCATATGTTGTCCCTCAGTTCTGTCTGCCTTGGGCTTAGATTATCAAATTTATTTTCTTGCTACCTCCAAAACTGAAAGAGTGTAATCCATCAGGTCCTGAATTTTATTTGGCCTTTGAGATGCAAACCTCTAAGGCTGTTGGGAAGGGTGATAATTTCTTATCCTTTTGTCTTTAGCACCAGAAGGGGAAACAAATCCAGTTTAAACGCCTTGAGGCTTTTGTTCGAGATTCATGGCGCAAACAGCGAGATGACATCAGGCTGAGGCGCATGGAGCAGAGACCTGGACAGACGGCTGTACCTCAGGAGCACAAACTAGCCTTTGTTGTGCGGATTGTAGAGTAAGAAACACTTGTTACTCCTTACCTTTATTATTGCTACTATTTGTAGCTGTCATATCATTCCTAAGCAAAGGAAGGGTGATCAACCCAGACATGTCTCCTTGCAGGTAATCTGGGACCTTTTGTTGCCGTATTAGAGAAATGTGGTTACTAATAGTATTTTTTTTTTCTGATTCAGTATTAACGGAGTGAGTAGGAGGGTAAAAAGAGTGATTGAGTTGCTGCGGCTGAGAAAAAATTTCACTGGAACATTTGTTAAACTGACTCCTTTATCGCTGAAGATGCTGCGGATTGTGGAACCTTACGTGGCGTGGGGGTAAGTACCAGTCCCGTCACTTGATACTAGTTTGTATGTAAATATCGTAGCTTTTTGCTTCTCCGTCTGGTATCACAATCCATTTTGACCAGTAACGGTCAAAACTTTGTCAACTTTATATCTAAACCATGTTATTGTCCCTTTTCTCATCGTTGTAAACATAACTTGGTTACTTTCCTACCTCTATACAAAGAAGTAGGATGGGACTTCCCACTGTATCATGTCTCTCCGTTACAGAATCTGATTTTTGTTTTTGCACAGACACCCTAACCTGAAATCTGTACGAGAGCTCATCCTGAAACGGGGCCAAGCCAAGATCAAGAAAAAGAGGGTGCCTCTGACAGACAATATGCTGATAGAGGAACATTTAGGTGAGGAAGAGGATGAGAAAATGAAGTGAATCAAGGGAAGAGGCGGATGTTGAGAGTTTGCAAGCTGACCTAAGAGGGAGGCGAGGGAGAAAAATCTTGCAAGATTTGTATATGGAGGACTGGCAATTCTGGAGTAGCGTGAGGAAAGATGGTACAATTGGGCATCTCGTGTATATGTCGTTTGTGGGGGGCTTTTTGTTGTTTTGTTGGGGGTTTTTAATTTTTTTTTTATTATTATTAATTATCCTTGCAGGGGTCTATGGTATTATTTGCCTGGAAGACCTTATTCATGAAATCTACTCAGCTGGGAAGTATTTCAAAAAAGTCACAAACTTCCTCTGGCCATTCCATCTGTCAGTGGCTCGCCATGCTTCACGTAACAAAGTGGGTTTCCTCAAGGAAATGGGTAAGCCTGGCTGCAGAGGTGAAGCAATCAACCAGCTTATACGTCAGCTGAACTAGTCAGGTGAGGAATGTCTGTTGTGTAACTTCTAAATTTTATCCTTTATCTGGTTTCCTAAGAATAACTATACTGCCATCGGAGATGAGGGGGGCTCCTTTGTTTTTGATTCTTCACTGTACAGAAGTGACCCTCAAGGTAGGGGAAACTATTGAAGAGCGTGGGTCCCATTAGGTATCAGTAAATCCTATTGGACACCTCCGTAAAGGCTTGACTTCTGGGAGATTGCGTTAATTGACTTTTTTTTTCTTTCTTTCCTGTTCTTCAGGGTCTTTGTGAAAACTTCAGGATTTATAACCTGTTCCTTTTCGCATGTAGTTTTCATGGACATCTCTATGCAATGATACACTATCTCTCTTGACTGTTGGTGCCTCTATAAAAAAGGAAAAAATACACCGATGATGGTGAAGATGGACTTCGGGCTGGTCCTTAAAGAAGAAGATAAATTGTATTTGGTATAAGGAAGTGACTTGAACTTCCCGGAGCAATCTCACTTCTGCATCTCTGTTAAAACAAGGGGGTTTTTTTATATTCGTTACTGCTGGCTCTGTACCAGTCACCTGATCTCATCTTGGGTATAAAGCAGTGGTTGGCAGTTCCTGATTTCAATTTCTGTTACAGTTGACTTGCACTCACTGCTTTGATCCAGTCCTCCCCAGGGGCAGTGCTTGAAGCTGCACTCCCTGAAGTGCACCTCCTTCTAGGTATAAAGGGGTAGTGCAGTCACCTGTTTAAGAATGTTGCTGACAGGCAGAAGAAAACACTAGGTATTCCTCTGTTACCACAGCACAAGCCCTAGCAGTGAATAATGTAACATTTCTTGAAGTACCTAGATTGTATTTATTTTGAAAAGCCGTGATTTTGTGCTACTGACTTAGAACAGGCTGCCTTTTCAATTCTGCTAGATTGGGACTGCTGGAGAGAACTATTTCCTGGCAGGAAAGCCCAGAAACTTGTAGTACAGTGGTGGAGTATGTGTAATCAATGTTTTTTAAATAAACTTTTGAAGTTACACTGTTAAAACAGGAGGAGTTGTATACAACACTAGAAGAGTGAGAAAAGTTAAATATTCTGCCTGAAGTGAATTTGGCGAAGGAACTGAACAGAACCATGGAAGAGCCTGAAAGTTCTATTAACACTTAAAAGAGTTTTAAATCCCTAATTTCTTCCAGTACAAAAATGTGTGAAGAATGCAGGAGTCCTATGCTATTTAACAAATGTGGAAGGCGCTGTGCTTAATCATTAGGTCACTGTGACTATTTATACTGTTATTTGAAGACTTAAGTGAGGGCAATCAATCAATCCGTGAATGGATTTCATATTGACCCCGCTTGTTTTGAGACTCAGAGGAAACAGCTGAAGTAACAATATAAGTACGATGCCTTTAGGTTATGACAGTTATTCATAAAACCATCTAAAATACCAAGTACTACAGACTCTGAGTTAGAGAACACTATACAGTTTCAAGCTTTATTCTGTAAAACAAGAATACAAACATAGAAAACACTTGACAGACACTAGAGACATACACAGGCTTAGAACACCACCATGCCCAGAACTAGAGTCCAGCAGTCGTTAATATACAAGGCTTCATATATTTAAGATTTTCTTGATAAACAGCTGCTTTCATTTTAAAAGAGGTACAAGTAACTTCAGAATTGTTCTGTTGATTCAGTTTAGGATTGTTTCTGGTAACAAAACAGCCCAGGCTTTTAACATAAAGAACTGGCATGTCAGGAGACTTTTTTAGCGCCAGAGAGAACTTAAGCCCGCTAATAGAACGCAGTTTATAATAATCTTAAAATACTAAATTACAGGATCTGAACACAATTCTAGCAATTAATCCTAGATTTAGGCAGTTTTTCTAGTGAATGCAGTAGTTTTAACACACCATTAGTTAGGCTCATACAGTTAAGTAAGACTTTAGCTACCATCATGAATACTTATTTAGACCTCTTAAAAACCAATACCAGCTTAGTCTAGTGTTCCACCACATTATCACAGACAAATGTTGCCTTTTTTCTGTATACTTCAGCAAGAGCAACAGTAGTGATGTGTTCATGACTTAGCTGCACTATGAACAGAAACTATACAAGGTGACAGGATATATACAAAACCCCCATGGCTTAGGGAAAGGAATCCTTCTTGTAAGCCACCATACTATTTACTTTGTGGATTGTAGTAGTGAAGGAACGAAGACGAACCTCTTCCGAATTGGCTACGAATTGCGGTCCTGACTCTTCCCACTTTTCTGGCACTGCCAAATCTTTATCTGTGTATATCAGCAAGTCAAAGGCACCTGTAGGCAAGTGGAAACAAATTAGCAGTAATGCACACATAAGAAGATGGCATGTTTGAAGTTAAAGTGCATCTTCTAGAACTTGAGACGTCTACCAAGGTTCTCAGAAATTACACTGATACTAGTTATGTGAAAAGAAATAGTAGTTAAAACATGAAAACAAAGTCCTGGTTATATTCACCATATAACACGTGTTTAGTTTTCTCACACAAGTGATGTGAATTTTTTTTAAAAAAAAACGTTAAAATACCATGGAGCTGAGCTCTATGTAACATTTCATATGAATTCAATGGTTATTTATACAAGCCTGTCCACAGCTACAGTCACAAAATAATGTATTATTTATGAAAACTTAGCATTCCACAGAGTACACATACTAGTTTCATCAAGTTAGTTAGGTGACCCTGAGTTCTGTCCTGATCTGAGTCTAACAAAATGCCATCTCAGAAATGTGATGGTATATGACATGTAATAATTAAAAAGCCTCAGAAAATTGGCAGAAAATATTTTCTAAAGTGGCAAAGTTGTTGAGGTTTTCCAAAAAAAGTGTTTGATTTCTTCAGTGAAGTTAAGAATACTCACAGGCAGTTTCCAAGAGTGGCAGAAAAGTTACTGTGGCAGTTATTTGTCTGATAACAGATCGAATTTCATCCTGAATAGCTTTCTGAGATTTTTCTCGTGGTGCACTGGAAAAATAGGAAAACTGTTAAGAAAGAAAGCCTCTACTATACTGACAGTTTTCTTTAAACACATTTCTTCCTATTAAGCTCTCTTGGTCTGTTTGCTATTGGATTTTTTATAGTAGTGACACTCTTAAGCCCTAGGTAGATAGGCTTAGAAAAGTTTGTGAAGCTTCACAGTATTTGTAAGTAATGTTACATTTATTCTCAGTCTGGAATGGATGAGAACATTTTGGCATAACAACAGGAAAGCAGTAGTTCTTTAGGGCACGTACCCGAACCAGGATTTTACATACTTTGTTGAAGATTAAAAATCAAGTTTTGATCTGATGCTTTTAAAAAAAAAAAGTCAACACCTGAGGATTATGTATGCTTCAATCATATAATGACTGGTTTACTGACAGACAGAAGGAATAGCAGTAAGAAAGGTAGTAGGTTGGGTAAGGTTTGAAGGAACATCTTCCATGCTCATACTGAGAAAAGGCTATCTCGGCTGCTCTGAGAAACCAGAACAGTGCTGATGCACATAGCATTTATCTTGTGTCTGCACAGCTACTAGGTATAGGGAAGAGCGGGCGCAGAGGAACACTGTTACCCACCTCTCATCCTTTGCAGTTTTGTCACACTCTATGTCAAACTGCCACCGCTCCAGAACCTCATTGTTTTCGATACTCGAGATGACCACCACCAGGCGCTGGACAATGCACTTGTACAGCCACTCTGAAAGAAGCCACAGCGGTTGCTTGCAGTGCGGGAAAAATAAGAAGCATCAGCAGAGACAGAGCGAGGAGCGCACAGCAGCCTCCCGCCAGCGGCACTAGCTTGGCACTTTGAAGAAGCCCCCTCAGCCCCCCGGCCCGGCTCCCCCCGCCACCTTTCATCTGCTCCACCACGTTGTTGAGGTAGTTCTTCAGCTCGGGGTCGGTGGTGACGAGGAGCGTGAGCCCGTACTTCTGGACGCGGGTGAAGGTCTCGGGGGGGTAGATGCCCCGCTGGTAGAGGATGCTGTTGATTCCATAGGCTGCAACGCGCGGAAGAGAGAGGAGGGGTGTGTGCGTGAGGCGGACGGCCCCCCCCCGCCCGCGG